TGAGATGATGGGGTTTTCTAAATATACAATCATGTCATCTGCAAACAGGGACAATTTGACTTCCTCTTTTTCTAATTGAATACCCTTTATTTCTTTCTCTTGCCTGATTGCCCTGGCCAGAACTTCCAACACTATGTTGAATAGGAGTGGTGAGAGAGGGCATCCCTCTCTTGTGCCAGTTTTCAAGGGCAATGCTTCCAGTTTTTGCCCATTCTGTATGATATTGGCTGTGGGTTTGTCATAAATAGCTCTTATTATTTTGAGGTATGTTCCATCAATACCGAATTTATTGAGAGTTTTTATCATGAAGGGCTGTTGAATTTTATCAAAGACCTTTTCTGCATCTATTGAGATAATCATGTGGGTTCTGTCTTTGGTTCTGTTTACGTGCTGGATTACATTTATTGATTTGTGTACGTATCTGCTCTTCTCTTCATTTATTGGACATATTCTTACCCCAGGATGCTGGGAGACAACTTCATGTTCTTTAAATTTAGCAGTTTACAAAGGATGTTAAATGATACTTGCCAGCTCAGCTGTAATGAGTAACCTCATTTCTGGTGACACTGGTAAGGAGAGAAACTGTAAAAATGACAACTGCATTCTCAGGACCTTTCAGAAAATCCTCATTTCTTCACAACTGGGCAGAAAATTCAGCACTTAACCTCCCCTACTCTGTTCCTCAGCCTTAGGGGAACTCAGTTAGGAGAGTGGAAATATCTTGTGGTTTTTCTTCTGAATTATCTGCCTAAAGGCTTTGTTTGATTATGTGTGGGGTTTTGTCTTTCACCTCTATGTTATTTTGATTTTCCGAACAACACCCACACGCTGCTTCTGGAAAAATGATGGTTGTTCAATTTGAAGCAATTATGTAAACAGATGTCCTAACTTCCCTGTCCATTTAAACATGCTTAGAAGCTGTGGTGCATTTTGAAAAGGTTTATAAAGCCATCTGTTGAGTTGTCTCAGACCTAAATAAAACTGCATTATAACATTTGAACTTTCTGTGCCTCATACCCTTGTTAAGAAATGTCTAATTGCCTTATGTCTCAAAACAAGACTTCATTAGACCCATGTTTTTAAAGTTAAAAAGCAGAGGATTACAAGAAAAATGCAATTTGCAATTTGTGGGCCAGGTTTCAAATTTTGTTTTTCTTTATAAAAAGTCTAGCCCATGTTCCCTTGAAACAATGCCTAATAGCTCACATTTATTGATCTAGGCACTAAGATCTTATTGATTCATTTAATCCTCACAGCAGTCCAATGAAATAAGTATTATGAAGAGCCCATTTTTCAGATGATGAAACTGAGACACAGAGAAGTTAAATAACTTGCTCAAGGTCTGGAATTCTCATTAGCAATGGGATTTTCAATTCAAAAATCAAAAACAGGAAAAGAAGAG